CAGGCTATCGAAAGATCACACAGCTGTAGAATGATACTACTTATAGAACATCGTGCGAAAGACTATTGTTGGCTGTGTGTTGAAGTTACTACTAATTTATGTGATCGGAGACTGATTATTCCGCTGACGTTTATTAAAAAGATCTTTAAAATACTGTACAACGTTAACATTTTTTGTACATGAAAGAGTGAGCACATTTTGCTCATAACACAGATTTGATTCTCCATTAATTCCATTAATTCCAGTGACGTATATCAAGCTTACATCCCTATGAATAAAAATTCAATATTAGGTGTTCCTATTGATTGCCACATTAAAAGTCCTTGGAGGCTAGTGGCCATCTTGGATTTGACCGCCATAAAATTAATATTAGTTTTGTTGATTTCAAACAGCCGCTGAAGAGTTACTAAATCCCAAAATATATTTTTTTTTGTTCAAATACCAAAGTGCAAATCGCAATTTAAATATCTAGTGCACTGTGGGGTTATACATTTTCTTTGCAGTTTTTAAATTGTTTTATGAGCTTTAACGTCTAGGCTCCAAGGACTCTTACTTAAATGTTCACCTGTTTGTGAACGTAGATGAAAGGGGGAAAACTTATAAACGGATAAACCTCAAACCAGTAGAGCGATGATATTCGAAATGGCTTGATAAAATTCACCCGTCTCCAAATATTAAAACTCAACTTAATGGTTCATGATAAAATTATGAACTGAGACTATGCTACATATGAAAATACATTGTGATATGTCTTATAAGGCACATTTTGCACAAGATTAAAAACACATTTTTATACAGGTTTTAAAGTGTTATTTTCCCAAATCACTTTCCATGAGTTATAAAACCATAAGGATATAATATACAGTTTATTACAATGATTAATAAACTCTTTTAGTAGATGTGTTAGTAATCACTAGTTGCAAAGGCAATGCAAATATAAGTTATTACAGGTTTCATAGTTATTTCTTTATTATTACCACATAATAATTATACCTTTGACTGCACACACAAACACCTTTGACACAAAGAGGGGAAAACAATACAGTAGATACAGTAGATACAGTAGATACAGTATTGCACAAAGGTAATGTATGAAATTAATTGAAATCAACAAGGGATTATTTGTGATAAAGCACACCAGATTTAAGGAGTGTTTTATTCCGCAAGTCGACAAGTCGATGTTTGTATTTTCAATTGTTTTGATTTAAACCATTTCCCGATACAGGCTTACTCAGGATTACACCGTGCTCGCATAGCGATTGAATAACTGCATTTTTAATCTCCATACAGTACATGATTTGTTACATATATTCTAATAAACCCAGCCTGAACGGCAAAAACAATCATATACAGTTATTTATAACGATTAATTTAAATTGTTAGTTTGTATAAAATAATAAAGCGCGTTTATTCAAACGGGTTCGCGAACCAGCATAATCGGACCATGGGAATAGGGGTTTATGGGGGTTTTATGGGGTAAAAACGAGTTTTTTCTAAATTTTGACCCTATTAACCAAAAAGTTTGTAATTTCTATCCAAACCATATTGTAGAGCTTAAAAAAAAAAAATTATTTAGTATATTGAAGCGCTGTTGTATGCTAACGGTCACGGAATGAATAAAAAAAGTGTAATATAAAATTCCTATGTTATTCTTATGGAGAAAATGAAAACTGTTGTAGTTTACTTGTTTATTTATGGGTATATGTTGATAAAATTTGACAAATTTATTTATTTCATCCTATACTATTGACGTATGTTCAAAAACACTTTTTACCTTCCCCGTAGCAGCAAACTTAAGCACACGTTAAATCTAATGTTATTTAAATTGGGAATAAATATGTCTTATTTATGGAAATCTTTTAGTAAAAATATAATCAGAGAAGCTGAAATTTGCTTAGTCTGCAGGTTTGCTGCGCCGGGGGTATTTTGTATAATTGTGACACAAATGAAACATTCGTGGCTTATTGATAAAGTCTGAACAAACATACTGCAAATAAACAAGTTAAGTTTCCACTAGTTAGATAACTAGTCCATTAGATAATGGAACAAACGCAATTGTTTTAATTCTATCATTATATTTTGAGAGCAAACTTATCTGTTTTTTTTTTCATTTAATGCAACAATATAAAATTATGAGCAAGGAGCGAGGTTTAATTCTTCAGCTATGTTGATGCTTACTACGCTGTGGTTTGAACTTAAAATATATCTTTGTGGCCTGAATGAATTAATCTCTCGTGTGAAAATTTCAAACCAACAATGTAAAAGGATGCATTTGGTCTTCTTTATATTGATCAGGAATGAAACCTACTCAACAATACAATTAGCACTTGAGATTAATCAGTAAATTTTAATTGACTTCGTTACCATGAAATGTGAGTGCTAATTAGGTTAATTGAACGAGGTCGCGATGTATGAACCCTTGTAGGCGGGCTGAAATTGTTCCAAAAGTCAGAGTTTTTACGTAAATTTAATCGATCAAAGTGTAAAGTTTGCTCAAAAGTAACAGTCATGATGCGTATATACTAGCGACAATAACAACCACTGGCAATAATGCATAGTGGCATGGACTCGATCATGAGCCCGATTTATGGTTGTCAGCGTCACGTTGGTTTAGGGGTTTTTGGGATGTGATCAGGATTAGTATTTTTACTAGGTAAAACCTGTCGAAATCGATGGTTACAGTAGATAAGTGTGGTAATACAGTAGAAGAGTGAAGTTATTAAGATCTAGAATATTTAACTTCATTTAATCAATAAAAAAGAGAGGGTTATGAAGAAGATCTTACACCTTGGATGAGAACCACTATTAAATTAAACCTGAATTAAAGGTAAATGTGTAAGAAAAACCTATATACTGTATTTAATACGTCACAAGTTTTTTGTCTCCGCTAATTTGTAAGAACGGCTGGCCATAGAAACTTGGCAGAGGTATCCAAAGAAAGGTCTGTAGATGAGCCAACAAGAAAGAAACTAGGTGAACTTCCTTGGTGCTCTGCCCCAGTGGCTTTTAAAGTCCCCTTACCAGATTCTTACATTATAGAGGCGTTCAATTCCAAAACTCAATCCTTGCAGATAAGCAAACTTTACATAAACTAAAACAATGTTTCTTGATTTTAGTTAATATGTTTTTCATAAGTTAGGGGGTATAGTTCGGCCGCTTAGAAAACGCCGCATTAAACCTGCGCGCTAATGCTAAACCAATGCTAGAGGAGGTCGAGTTCTAAGCGGCCGAACTATAGTTATGTAGTTTTTGTGTGTTTTTAACAAAAAAACAGACTTCTTTATTTTCACCCCACGCTGTAAATAAAGCATGTGATTGGAATTTATTCCATTTGTTTTGATTTCTGTTAAAATTTCATTGTTATTTCGTCACCAGCATGGAGACCCATAAGGCCCATGTACACCATATTAATAAAAACAAATTAAACTCATTTGTTGGATTTATTTTTGAACCCATTTTAACTTATAAGGGAATTCTGCACATCTACACTAAAATATCTTTATTATAGTATGCGCAGATTTTCCCTGAAATGCACACGAGCTAAGAAAAACTGTTATTAAGAAACATGCTTGCCTATTACGATATGAGCGAAGGATGAGTTTAGAATGGAGCGATATAATCTGTGTAGCTTTGTTGCCGACTAAGATCAGCTTTTTCATTAGCCAGGATCATCTGAAAAAACGTAGGGAAATTGAACAACGTAATGCCATTATTATGTTTTAATCTTGCTGAAGCTGATACATAATGTTTCATTCAGGGCTATATTAGGATATTGGAAAAAAATGGATTCGAAACCTTAACCAACCTTGAGATCAATTAAAATAATTATAAAAAGCATTACTGAGACTTTTAGGATTCATGATGTAGCCCTTGTCCTGTATAGACAAATATTAGGTACATACCTTTACGTCAACAGTTAAAATGCGGTCACTATAAGTTCTCTTCCTACACGAGTCGCCTTTTTATTCAGGCATCGTCTGGTGAACCCCTTGACAAGAATGCTTCATCCATTATAGAGTCGTCAAAAAACATTCAAGCAAATACATGAAAAACATAACGCATGCAAAAACCGAGGATTGAGTCTGCCTCCATACCGCAACCGGTTAATAGTAGGACTACTTTTAAAATATTAAAAGTGTTTTCGTTCGTTATGTCTTTCGTGTATTTGTTTGAATGCTTTTTGACAACTCTATAATGGACGAATCATTCTTGTTGTGAGTTCACCAGACGAAGGCTAAATAAATAGGCGAAACATTTAGTGAGTTTAACTACCACATTTGAACTGTTGACGTAAAGGTAATGCACCTTATATTTGACTGAATCTTTGGTGTGGCTTTGACGACTATCTTTTGAGAATTAAGGGGCGTAAATGTTTTATGTGTATTATTGTTTCATGGTTTCTGATTTTTGAGTGCATATTGAATATCGTATGCTCCACCAGTGAAGGCTATAGGGAACATACAAAGATGGGGTGGGGGGCGGGGGTCACATACACAGCACAATAATGTAAGAAGTAGAGAATTTGGTTGATATAACTTTCTTGATATTGCCATATGTACTAGCATGTTTTCACTAGCTGCTCTACGTAGAATTTTTGATTGAAAACACTATTGAGAGAAGAGTTTGGTCTGTAGCTCATTCTATGTTTACAAACATCCAGTAACAATACAATGTTACGCTTTGATGACCACAATGTTACAATGTTACGTCTTTTCGTATCCAAGACCGTATTGGTACGTTTCATACTTTCAAATGGACTCGGAATATTTAATACGCCAACTTAAGAATCTCCAAATTCTGAACCGTCGACTATCAAGGTCCACGTTAAATTAAGATACTCCAAATTGAGTGACATCAACTAAGTCCACTCCCGCCAGCGATGGCTGTATCGCGCCACATGACGTAATGATTACGGCAGACTCAAGTGTTTTTGCAGAGACTTATTGACGCTGCACGAGCTTCTTTGTTGGTAAACACTTGGCCCCTGCGTGGCCCTCGGGTATATAACACATCATGCTGCAGCAGAACACATACACAGTACTCACTCTGCTCTCACAGCCTCTCTACTACCTCACCTACCCTCTCACACTTAACCAGGTAGGTCTTGTTTAGTATTGTTGTTATAATAAACACTATGATTTTGAAATTATGTGCATTATGCGTAATGTTGGCAGGTTTACCATAATTAACCCGAAGAAAGAATCAACTTAAGGTGTATTAGTTAACGATAAATAACATATTACATATTACAGCAATCAGTTGATGTAAACAAGTTTCAGTTTGAGCGTGTGACAAACTTAACATTTGATTAATTTAATATTAAATGGAGCGGCGCGGCGTTTAGATGTTTACTTAAATACGAGTGAATTAGTAAAGCTGCCTTTGCTAAGTGCAGTGAATCATAAATACAATTATACTATGGTAACTCTATATTTTAAACCTTTATGATGTACTTACCAGTTAATTTTTCGTAATAGTTCGTAATAGTTTAAAACCAGATTTCTGTATTCGTGGGAATATTGAAGCATAGCATCGTGTTCAGTAGTGTCTCGTTTGTCACTTAAAATATAGGAATGGTAGTATATTTCATCACTAGGGCATAAAGTGATTCTTTTTGACCAGAGGTCAAGTTTTACCATCAGGCGAAGCTGAGGTCCAAAAATGAGCGAGTGTTAAAAAGTAACTTTTTGTCCAGTTGATGAAGTATATTTTTGTCATATTGCACCATTATTTGAACAAACTATGTTATAAAACTTCATTTAGGGTAACTTCTCAAAACTACTTCTAACTTCTTTTAAATTTAATTTGATAATGGAAACAAGCAGCTGTTTAGTAAGTGATTCAATCTTTTCGTATATTACGATTGTGTTATAGTGTATTATACCATCAATATGTTGAGCAATCGACAACAATAGGCTAAAACCTTTGACTCTAAAACCTTACCTCATAAATCAATTGATAAATAATTTCGATCGATACGATTGCCACAATCGGAATTTACTACTGTATACAACAGCTGATTTTGATTCCCTAGAGACTAAAAATTATTTATGCTCCCTAGAGAGTAAAAATGCTACTTTAGACACGCAACGCATGCATTAAAAACTGCTGTTTTTGCTGCAGTATGACGGAAAATATTGATATTCAGTGAAAACGCATCCTAAAGCCTAATCACTTCAATGGCAGGTTATAATAAAGTTGTATGGATAATATAATCCGAGGGAACAATTTGGTCATCAAACGATAAATTTATACATGATGTTTGAAAAATTAAATAGAATATATATATATATTAATTAATTTAAAGTACCAGCTGAAAAATTACAAAAACGTTTTTTTAGTTGAAATATAACGTTTATAATATAAAAAATAGCCCGCCAGAAATTGATTAGTTTGAATTAAAAGAACGAGGGAAGGGAATGCTATTATGTTAAAATTAAGAAGCTATCCCTAGTATTCTTCATGATATGATTAAATTAACTCTTTGACGGCGCTTCAATGGCGGTTGTGTAAAGTGTAAGGAAAAAATAACGAACAGCTGTTTGGATTAAGATTATTTTTTCTACCTGTCACTTATATGTTTACATTAAATGTCGTTTACAAGTACTGCCACTATTTCCATTCACGTTTTGAAAGCAACTCCAAACCAAGTGAGATTAAAAATGTTTATCCTTACATAACGGATTTAATTAATCGCAAGTGCAATAATGTGTAACCGCAAATGAAATTAAATAACTGGAAGGAACCAGAGATTCTTTGTGTATAAAATTGTTCTTGAGTTTTGATAACCGGAAAGAAGACATTGAATCAGTGTTGTATATGGCTGGGAAAATTATATTTATTGAATCATCGTCGCCAATAGCTTAAAAACAGGGTTTGCACTCATTGACAGCGCTTCAATGGCGGTTGCGTAAAGCGTAAAGTAAAAATTCATTGGTAAATAATAAATAAGATTTCCTTTATCACTATGAAATGTGTTAAAAACACAAAAACTTGACGAGTGAATTTCATGTCGACTATAGAACTTAACCTACTAAATATAGTCAAACCCTTAAATACATCTATATTAATATAGATATAAGTATAAAATTAGGCTTCGAGTTGCTGTGTTGAAACACATTGTCTTACATAAACATAATAAGAGATGCATTTTTATTTATATAATTCGGGAATGGTTATTGATTCTTATTTGTTACTTCTGCGAGAAGAGTTTTCCTGGTTTACTAAATAGAATGATTCCAGAATGTGACGAGTTACTTTATTATTATCTGAACCGTGCTCATATTTATTTCTCGTAGCCAGGATGACATTGTCATGGGCCAGTCGTGTAGTGCGCAGAGGCAGCGCAGTGGAGACAGTCTACTGGCGTGCCACCCCCAGTCCTAGTAGCGTAGTCACTACCCTTGGCAGTGGCAGTGGCAGTGGCAGTGGCAGTGGCAGTGGCAGTGGCAGTGGCAGTGGCAGTGGCAGTGGCAGTGGTGCCAAGCTGATCAAACATGGCAAAGTACTCAGGCTGAAGCAGATGCCGCCTCCCCCTGCCCAGCTGCATAGCAGACTCACCACCTCCGGTCCAGTCGCATCCCTGTGATACAAGGTGGGTACCTACTTGATACAGGTCTAATACATCAAAACAAGTTTTGAGGTTGCATAGCCATACGTAAATCTAATAACATTCAGCAAAGGTTATTGAACTATTGTTAATGTTTTGTCTTTTGCCTTTAGATCCACAATAAAGACAAATCGTGAAACCTCTTTTAATATTCACCCAATTCATGTTTACTTTGGGTATACATATAAATTTACGTTTAATGTGTCACTTTTTAATATAAAATTTGCAATACAAATACAATGGTCCGAGCTGATAAAGAATTTGTCAACGATAATCGGTTTTGTTTAACTCAGTGCATTACAAGTGTAAATGCTAGTATGCACTTTCAAATGGCTGTGCTCGATTCGAAAAGAAATCGTTGTTAAAAAGATATAATACCAATACGAAAGTTGATTTTTAGTCAAAAATAGCTTACACTTGAATTATGCATGTAATGGGCAGATATACATTTTAAATCATGGCTTGGTAAAATACAACCTTACGCCTATGACTTCTGTGGATCGTATAGACGTCATGGGACTGGGGTTTATCATACGGCTCCACAATGTGTTTGTATTTATCAGTCTGCTTGAAACTTAAAACATCAAACTCAAAAGCTCTTTGTTTTTGTTTCAGATGTAATCAACAACTTTTTCGTGTTTTGGAGATCCAGCGATATTCGTTCGGATTTCAAAACCAGCATTATTTAGATAGTAATTCATCACTTCATAATACGTTTCTTGAATTTAATGTAAAATATGTCTCTCATTAACGTCATTCATACGATTTATCTATTTATTTAATTTAACTTAGATTAGTTTTGATTTTGTACTGGTAATAGCTATTTTAGAACATTAAATAAATTTATGAAAGCCATCTTGTTTTGTTTCTAAAAAGCCAAATGCCTTTTCCTAATATCAACGTTAGAGTCACGAAAGTCACGAAAGTTAAAAAATAATGAGATTCATTGTACGGATCTTTTGAGCCCAAAGATACTACAAAAATAAATGGGAGCGTAGCCTCCCAGGGAATTCTTTGAGACCACAGATAAAAAATATTTACTTTAATTGTCCCTCAAAAAATTACGTAATTTGAAAAGAAAGGATTTTAGACTCCTTGGTTAATTTTTCATGGAGTTAAAGTTAATTGTAAAAATGTGATAATTTGCGGGCAACTGGTGGTATGATAAACTTAAAATACATTTCCTTCCTCGACCTATTGTTTGAAACTATTGAGCAATATTAAAAAGTGGCATGTATTGATGAAAACCACCTCTAATATAACTAAAAAAAAACTGATTTGAACAACCTTATTAGTTTGAAACACTAATTCAGCAAATCAAATGAAATATACAAACGTTTAGATATTTTAATAATATAACAAAATTCACGTACTAGAATTAATTATGGTTTTCCTTTTCCAATGCTTTGCGTGTACACCCCGAGACACTATCAAACTTGCAGGGCTCAAATAATGACGACTCTTTGGAGACAGCTTAAACAAGTCACTTTGAGTTTGGGTGAGTTGCTGTGTAGTGTTGTAACTCCACATTAGCTTTTAGTCCAGTGTTTTGTCATGCCAAACACCCTCAGAGACAATAATGTCTTAAGTTCAAGTTGACTAATACCATCGATAATAATTGGTAAACTACACACATGTACTTATGTTATATTGATGCTCCCATATTAAAATATAATAAAATTGATAGTAACAATGTTTAAGGTTGAGATTATAAAGTGTGTAAGGATTACAGTTATTGAGCGGAACGAAGCGAAGTTCTTTGGGACGAACTTTAATGCAATAACACTTAATCTCAATAACGGCTGAACATATTTTAGCCAAACTTACCAAGGTTGTTTTGTCAAATCTTTGTATGGTTTAGACGTAACCAATTTCAATTTTTGATAATGCCTTTATAATTTGAAAGTATCTCAAAGTTTTAACATTTTAACATTGGTCTTATGGGTTGCCATGATGGTTATAAAATAACGACATAAATGTAAACAAAACTAAGAATAATAGCATACGAGCTGTTGGCCCGTTTTACGTACGGGAATAGAGACCATTAAAAATGTAAATAGCGTGTCTAATAATACTCCAATACTTTTCAATGAAATGGCAACCATACAAAGCAGGTATTTTCAGCCAAGTTTGAATGGAGATGAGTGTAGGATGAGTGGCGCGATCTTGTAGTCTTGTTAGTGACTAAATCCGACTTAATTCAAGCATAGTTTAAGCAGTTAAAAATATATAGTTAATATAAAGCTGCCAAGATGAATTAAAACATGTTTTCATTGTTATTGTCCCAACCTTTCCTAAAAAAATCGAGTAGTAAAATAATTTTCATAAGCTTTCTTTTGAAGATTCGTATACAGCAATGGTTATAGAATCTTACTTATTTCCTATAATCAATGACAAAATCACACAGTAAATAAACCAACCTCATAAAATATTGTTTTATTCAACCGGCTGTTGGTTATAACAAATTATATTGCATTAAAACAAACTAAATATTTTAAAGACTACTCAAAAAAATTAATTAGTACATCTAGTATTTTACTATGTATATTTAAATAAACTCTCATCCTCTTAGCGAATAAATGAGTGTATCGATGATTATAGCATTACACATAGTATAAATAAGTAAAATCTACGTTTTTTCATTTTCATCCAAATGCTGAATTTCTGTCGAAAACGCTGAATGTTTACAGTTGTTATGTTAAGCAAATAGTATGATACCAAAAGCTTGAGAGTATAATGTTAGCGTCGGCTGCTAGACTTTTTAAAATTTAAAACTTAGTTTTAAAAAATTGAAACCCTAAACTCAAATTATAGCTTCGACATTCCCTAGTTCTCAAAATTATCTTTCTTTCAACACAAAAATCATGAAAATCCGTTAAGCGGTTGATTCAGAATCGTGAAATAAAAAACCCCTGTCACTCGTTAGTATATAAGTAAATAAAAATCAAGCCACGACCACAGTACAAAGGAAAAAAATTCTGATGATGACAACTGATCAAATGCCACAGAGAAAGTCTTAGGTTTACATTTAAGTCCCGATTTGGAAACCACCACTGATCGTATAGGTACAGTCATAGATAAAACATACTTTCTTAGGTACAGATTTGATTTACATAGCTAAATAAGGTTATAACAAATAACATTTTTATCTTAAACGATTCGTCGGTGAATCATATTCATGGATCAATATCATAAATGGCAAAATTAAACAGGTACACGACGTAGAAGTGGTGAAGGATGTAGTAAAGACGAGAAGTGCGGAGTGTGGGAAACGTTTGTGGCGTGACAGTTAGATATTTGTATCTAAAATACTAAAATGCTACGGGAAGGGGGGAAACAAGTCCACGACGTAAGAAGTTGTGAAGGAAGTAGTGAAGGCTAGCAGTGCAGACTGTGGGAACATGTATTTTTGTATTATAACAATAAACATTTTTTCATTTATTGCTTTATTAAACCCCATGAAACATGATTGTTTCGCTCAACTGGCTTTCATTGCTATGATTTCATTGGTAGATTGACCCTTGAGCAGCCAAGATATTGTTTTGGGAATGAATTATCTAATTTGTCCGTACTAACCAATTGACTTATACTATTACTATGCTGATGAATTCATAAAAAACATAACTACAAGGTATTTTATAGAACAAAATGTACAATAAAGTACAATAATATCGAAACACGAGCTAAGAGAAATGAGAAATTCATAGCAAACGATTAAAACCAATTCAACTATACAGAAAAGCGTCGCGAGTTTAATAGACTGGAGGACATAAAAATACCAATACATGGACGATTACCCACTTAACTCTGCCAATACACGAGGTTTGATCGTATGATGTGTTATAACTTGTAACTTGTATCGAAATGACGCTTCAAAGTGATATGTATGTAAACAACACCCAATCGTGCAGATATGTTAAACGAAATATGTTCGATGATGGTATTAGGTGAGCATTTATACAGAAACCTCTAGTTGGGCTAATTGGCGATTTTGAAGTTCAATGAGTATTGGAGTAGCAGCTAGTTGATTAGAGGTTATCAATGTAGCGTTATCTGGAGCCAACGCTCTCTGAGAGCCATGAGGACTGTGACTGATCACAACCACGTGATCAATACGTGCCACACTCACTATAATACCGACTGTATCCGAGGGGAAGCTCAATATTTGCCAACCATCCATCGGCCTGGTTGTTCACCATTCAGCTGCATTGTTACTTATAAGTACCTAATGCATTTTACAGTGAATGTATTGGTCTTTGGTCATGCATCCCACCTGTCATACTCGTAACTGGGAGTTTTAAAATGTTCACTATTATTCACTTTACAATAAAGTTACAGAACAATTGATGAGATAATATTTTAAAAGTACAGTTTTGAACTTGTAAACCAGGGGCCTTTGCAATAACAACCGTTTACATGGCTTTGAGGTTTTCACTTGTATTTTTCCCCAATCAACAAACATAATTTTTGTAAAGTTTGATTTTAACTTAGCATTAATATTGCATTTATATAAATAGGTACAGTCAGTTGACCTCTGTTGTAAAGTTGGATGTGGCCTGCGGATACTGATGAAGTTTATTTAAGAAAACGCTTAAACAATAAAATGAAGCAACTTTTTATTACATGAATACATAGTCTCTAGTTTTGTTATTAGTCTGTAAATTGTAACAAATTAACTGTTTAGTTTAACAACTAAATTGATGAAAACTGTTAACTCTACAGACTATATGTAATTTTTTTTTTATCGAAAAATATTTATCCCATTGATACAACATCTAATAAGTAACCAACTTTGAATGGATTTATACATACTTACAACATATGTTGGGGGTATTGTAATCGTATTTAGCACTTGCGGGATTAAATTTACTTATTTTCCTGCTTATAATAATAATAATATCGCTTTATACTGGTTAGGGTAATTTTCATCTTGGTTTAGCAGTAGAAGGATTTTACTTCCACTGATTAGATTACATACGAGTAGATCATTGGTTTCAGGTAAATATATTTGGTTGTGATTGTAAACCTAATTTTGTATTATAAATACAAATCGATTACTACAAAGCGGAAAACACAATTTTCCTAGCTGTAATGGTTACGAATATAAAAATTGTAAAAATCGTAAATATTATAATTTTGTAAAGAACATTAAACTAGGTCTGAAGTATCCGATGAAAATGGGTTTCCAAACGGACGATTTAGCAGCAAATAACAACTCATTCGCGTGTAAACATTGTAGTGGTTTTGGTTGTATCGCAGTCTCATAAGTCAAACATTACCGAATTTAAATAAACTAGAGACGAACCTAATCTCTAATTTAAAATCATCATTTTTTACCATGTGCTCATATCGGAGCTTTCCCGATTGATATTCCTTATAGTTATAGCAAACTAAAGCTAATAATTATTATTTCTTTCGATAAAATCTGTTATGTTTAAATTTTAAAGAGACAGACACATATGTTTTAAATTTTTATTGCATTTACTATGGATTACGTAAGTTAACATTTAATTCGGATATCGAAGTTGTTCCGGTTTTAAAACAAAAACGAATTTTGTCCAACTTAGTTACCAACAGAAAGTGCCCTGCTACCTTGACTAATCTTTTAAAAATTTAAATTAATTTATTTTAAACTTTTGTGACCTTATCAAAAATTGAAGTAGAAAAAATCCGAAGAAACAAACAAAACTCATATTGCATTTGTTGTTCAATGTATTCGACTATATTAGCTTCGAGTTAATCAAGTTAAAACTACGAGGAAAGACTTGTTACAGAGGGATAGGACCTCTGCCTTAGTATCCAAAGTCAATGTTTGTATTTAGAATTTATAATATGCAAAATATTCAAAACGTTGT